TTTGTTCCACTTTACTTTGCTTAAACATATACACATATTAAAATTTGAATGTATCGAGAAACAAACAATGATAGTATTGTATATTCATAAAATTTGCAATGCCATTCTTGTAGGTTCATACCATCTTGTTTTATACTGTTATCAACAAATATTACCAATGTATGCAATAAAATAAGACAAGGCAGTGTTCATAGCACATACGTATTTGCATTATTTAACTAAAAATTTTTGCATTTATCAATGTTTTATGTACTTTAATTTCCTATTGCATTAATGTCCAACCATTTTTAAAAACACAATATTTCAGGTAAGATAGTACTATGCTACATTTTAAAAATGATGATTAATACAATAAAGGTTTTATTATATTGCTCATTTCAAGATACGTATTCTTCTTAATAAAGAATACTTATATGATTAAGTTCAGCAAAATTAATGAGCTTAGAAATCGCCTGATTGAAAAATGAAATGTTGCATAATATTATCTCTTCCAAAATGTTTGAATTATTTATGATGATTGTACTATACGTTCGTACTTATATCCATTCTTATCTGCTGCATAATAAAACAGAATGTTAATCATGTAACTTTCACGATATTCCGTATACAGATTTTTTAATAATACGACTTTTTATTAAAGAAATTATTTTTCCAATCTCTAATCAGACTTTATACATCAAATTTTACGAAAGTTACGTGATCTTTACTCTGTATTAATTTATCTAACATAATATATATATTCCTAATCTAAGTATCTACGAAGTTGACCTAATGTATTTTTTCATATATTTAATTTCCACTTAAATACTCGCAAGTATACAATTGTAAGTGCAGTACTACTATGGTATATATATTTACATAAAGTGAAATTAGCTAGTATATAAATCTTCACGAATCCGGGTTCTTCGTCAATCTTATAAATGGTAAAATGAAACCATCGTATATACTCCCAATATAGTTTCCAAGCATTGCTCACGATACATGATTTTTGACTTTGTAAAATTTCTATACATGATTGTGGATTTATTTGCTGATAAATCAACGTGGCTTTGTCTGAAATCATATTTCACAATCCACTATATTTGTAAAATATTAACTATAGACATAAGAAAATGACACATGTGCATTTAACTATATCACATTATAACTAAAATACCCTGCAATATATGAAACATATGAAAATATCTTATTTATTTTACTGTTATTATATTACTGTTATAGAACATGTTATATTACTGACCTCTTCATCAGGAGCTTGAGTAGAAGCAGCTATCACTTGCTGCATCTGCAAGGGAGTAGTTCCACTTACAGGATGAGATGAGGACTGTTTACCAAATTTAACTGTATCCTGGGCTGATTGAGATAATTCTGGTCTCCTAAGATAAGCTGCCTCTTTTTTAGGTGGTACCACGGGTTTATTAGGTGGTACAGGAGGAGGAATGCCACGAGAAAGAGGTGGCTTTTTTGACGATAGTGTACCAGGAGCTTGAACGGCCTGTGTAGAACCAACGTGAAAACCATGCTTCCCTGCAGTTTGCGTTGATGGTACTAATTTTGCCATGCCACCAGTATTAGGAGGAACAGCTACAACTGGTCGTTTGTCCATAGCCTGAGAAATGAACATGTAGCACAGCCAATTTAACATTCATGAAATCAGATATAAATATATCTCCACATGAATCCTACATATTTCCCAATATTTAAGGTAACATTGAAAAAAGATCACGCCAAGGCACCGATCCAAAGCAGGAAAATCAATGAAAAACAGAAACAATAGCAATTAAAGGTGTTGAAGGTCGTGTAATATATATTATATATATTATATATAGACATTACAAGCAAATTCTGAAACAGTGATACAAGAATTTTCGTATTAATATAAAAATAAACAAATAATAGTGTGCAGTTAATATAGATTCTGCAAGAGGATTTAGGTATGCGATGTTCGTTTATATGATGTGTCAATAGTCATAATAGTTTAAAAAAAACTTTGTGGCTAACAATAGGATATTTTATTTTAATGAAAATTTTAATAGTAATTATAAAACTTTTAGGTGGTAAATGATTACTAATGAGGGTGTGTGCTCTAAAGTCTGAATCATTATTGTCAAACTTGAATATAATCAAATTATATTATTTGTAATTATATAAATAATTATATGCAATCTAAATACTTAAGCAATATCGTCATTTTATAAATTCAATACAATTCTAAAATTTTTCTGCCAATACATAGCTAAAGAAGGTCATAACATGATTTAAGATTACAAATATGTTTCATGCGATGATGATTTCCGAAAGATCGTTTCTTTTTCTTTTGTTTTCTTTTTTCTTGAAAAATGTATATAACCAAACCATATAGATTTAGCAGTAGCGATTATAGGACAGCAATTAGGGAAGATAAGCAGGAAAAAATTGTAAATAAAGCTCAGAAATTAATTGCATACAACTTTTAATGAAGGACTTAATTAATGTACATACTGAATAATAATTTTATGTA